GCCACCGGGCCCTCTGACCACCACCAGTAGGCAACGGGTGAAGTGTCTTGCCCAAGGACACAACGACCGAGACTGTCCAAGCCGGGACTCGAACCGGCAACCTTCCGATTACAAGGCGAACTCCCAACTCTTGAGCCACGATCACCCATAATGGCTTCATGAATCATCCCACAGATGTAATATTATCTACAACTACTCTTAGTACCATTGATGTCAAGTTGGATTCTTTTTCTCCAATTGATCTTTAAGTTAACTTCAATAATTACTTCCTCCAAACCATCAACATGTCTTTTAGACCTCATTCGTATGAAACTGCTCAAAGAAGTCCTGCCATTAATTAATTCTTCAATCTTAAATATGATCAACCTATCTCTACTAATCGGTTATGTACCCCAGGCCTAAAAGCTGGCTGTAGTTAAACTTTTACTTAAAAAACCATCTCTAGACCCAGCAGTCTTATCTTCTTATAGGCCAATCTCCAACCTACCTTTCATATCAAAAATCCTTGAAAGAGATGTTGTCAAACAGCTAACAGATCATCTGCAGAGGAATGACTTATTTGAAGAGTCAGATTTTGTAGGTCATCACAGCACAGAAACAGCTTTAGTGAAGGTTACAAATGATCTTCTTATGGCCTCTGACATTGGACTTGTCTCTGTGCTTGTCCTGCTAGACCTTAGTGCAGCATTCGATACTTTTGACCATAATATCCTATTAGAGCTATTAGAACATGCTGTAGGTATTACAGGTACTGCACTGCTGTCACGGCTGGCGGGATGAGCCGTGTGGTGTAGGGGGAAAAGGACCCAAAATGCAGGCAGTTGACTGGTGATGAGAGTGATGTTTTATTTACAGAAGTGGAGCGACCGAACAGGCAGTGAGGAATGACGAATGACTGAAAAAACCTAGACTGGGAAAACTAAATGACAAACCTAAGCATGAGACGGGGAGCAGAGAATGCAGAGAGACGTAGTTACACCGAGAAACACAGACGATCCGACGATGAACAGAAGCCAAAACACACTCTAAATACACACTAGGTAATGAGGAGATGACATGTAGGGGTGGGCACAGCTGACACTAATGGACATGATGAGAAGCAGACCTACAAAGTAAAACCGGAAACACACAGACTGTTTTATAACAAAAACGCAGGGACCTGAACGGAGCACAGAGGGGAGACACAGGTAGGGATAATAAACACCACCACCAACCCAAAAAATTAATACAGAATCAGAATAAACACCAAACACAAGATGAAACCAAAAAGAAACACAAAACGCTGGGTCAACGACCCAGGATCATGACAGCTGCAGTGGTTTGTATCATATCTATCAAATAGACTCCAATTTGTGCATGTAAATGGAGAGTCCTCTTCACACAATTACGGTGTTCCGCAGGGTTTGGTGCTAGGACCAATTCTGTTTACATTATACATGCTTCCCTTAGGCAGCATCATTAGAAGACATAGCATACATTTTCAC